ATTTTCAGGACTTCAATTTTACAGTCAAAAATCTGATGATGCTTTGGGTCATATTTATGCATATATATAGAAAATTGTAAAGGGTTCACAAACATTCAAGCAGCACTGTATGTACAGGTCAGTACTCACAGAAATATCATGTGATAATGGTTAACTGACTTAATAGACATCTATTTACAAAGTTTTGGAATGGAATGTTTATTTTTTATAAACATGCATAATATTTTGGTGGAAGCCAAATATTGAATTAGTAGGCCTACTTCTTTTGAATTAGTGTTTACTTCACGACTGTTATACAGTAAGTTCTATATAGCATGAATGTGTGTAGTATTAATGTAAATCAGGCGTACTACATGCGTAATGTTGTCATTATCACGTGACCTACCAGCGTTAGTTGTGTTGCTTCACTGTTATTCATAAATCCTCTCTGGTGGATAGTAAAGTGTCCATTGGATGCGCACTTTTTGCCAGAAATACAACCGGGTACTTTTTGCATACTGTTTCGGACATATTAGTCTTTTCATATGGGCTATTTTTAGGCCTATTATGTCAGGTTTACCTCACTTCTGGGTATTTGTCTCCAAAAATTGATGAAGTGGGTACATACATGTTGGGTTTCCATGTTTTAAGGGGACATTTTATGGGCGTAATGATTTTTATACTGTATAAACTGTATTTTATATCCCCTTACCCTCAATTTACCCCTCACACAAAACTTTCTGCTATGATGTATAAGCTTGTTTCCTCATGGGGACCAATAAAATGTCCCCACAAGGTCAAAATTTACTGGCATTACTATCCTCATGAGGACATTTGGTCCCAATAACTTAGGGAATACCAGGCACACACACACACACACACACACACACACACACAAACAACTAACTTTGTTTTCCTCTCTGTATTTCTCTTCTAGCTTGCTTCATAGTCTAGGCTGCATTAATTGTATATTATGAATATTGTTGGTTTTTTGACAAATTGCTTTTGTTCCTCTTTTGTAAGTTATGCATACATGTATAAATGTAAATCTGACAATGAAAACATTTAATTAAATAATAAAAATATGAGAATGACAAAACCCGGATGAAAATAACAGCAGTTCTTTTGTTTACAGGTAAAGCAGACAACAAGGTAAGGCAACTAAGGTAAATTACTTAAAATAATGTATAAATATGATAAACATGCATAGATCTCTCTTGATTACCAACTGTATTCTTTTTTAAAACTGATCCATGATATATATTCAGTTAATATACACTATATATTTCTTCATTTGAATGTTGAGGACAACAGCAGTAATATAACTATTTCATGTAAAATGTAAAAAAGCTACCATTTGTCTCAATCAAAATGAATACCACCTTGACAGTAGTTAAAAAATAAAATAAAAAGATGTTCTTGTGGCTTCAGGGAGAACATAAAGCCCTCCAAAATTTTACCTTATGCCATCACATTACAATCTGCACAGTCTGTTGCACAAATCAAATGTTAAATATATTATATTAATATAAACTGATAAAAATAAGAGTTTGATATGCTGTACAAATAGCAAACCATTAGTGGGGATTTACTTGATATTCAGATATGTTTTCACATTTGTTTGATAAGTAATACACTGTAAGTGTGAGCTGAGGTAAATATTGGTTCATTGTTATTTTATAAATGGTCTTGCTCTTCTTCATCTGAACCAAACCAACCAGTCAGTTCACCTTAAAAGACAATTACCTTAAAAGACAATTACAATTACCGAAGCTGGTGAGACAATGTATGCTACACTGTAAAAAAATATCGTGATTTTAACGGTAAAAGACTGTAGAAATGCCACAGTAAAAACCAGTTAAATGATTAACAGTAAGTTTCCTTACAATATACGGTTAATAACTGTAATAGATCTAACCTTTGTTTTCGAGAAAGTAGCCTTAGAGTCAACACTCATAGACTGTGTCTGAATTCACACCCTGCACCCTCATTCACTATTCCCTACATTAGTTCATTATATAGTCCACTAGACCAAGTGATTGAAAACAAATGAGTGAATTCAGACACTGATGAACAGCTGCTGTTAACAAGCAGAATCACCGAAGGAAAGAACAAGAAACAAAACTACAACTGACTTCCAGTCACAGCCTTAGATGAAATTAACCAAAATAAAACAGCAGAGGAGGATTACACAACTCCACAAACAGCATTACCAGCTTCACTCATTACTAACCAGACTCACTTTATTTCTGTCATATATCTACAAAAATTATTTGAGAATTAACCGAGGTTTATATTGTATTGAAAATGTTTTGTTTGGCCTCACCATTTTGGCGATCAGTGGTTGCTTTAGTTGGGCTCTTGACCCGTGACTCTTTAATGTTTTTCTGTTGGTTCTGTGTATGTAAAGCACATTTGTTGTGACAAGAACAGCCGAGAGAAATTGTTCTGAAGTGGTTTTGATAACTATTAATGATGATGAAATCATCATCTCTTGATCTGATTCACTGATCTCAGTTAGTGTCTAATTATATGGGTTAATTAATTTATTTTTGTTTATGGTACTAACATGACTCTACAAGATATGTTGACAAACCATTAAGAAATGTAAAAGCAGTTTATGCACAAAACATTTAGAGCTACAGCATTGTTTAGACACACACAGACATCAAGAATCTGCACATGAATCTCAACAATGGTGACTATTATTAATAAAAAACAAATAAATCATGCCGCAATGCATGCTAGGTGCCAGTACAAAACTCCCAGCATGCATTGCAGCATGAAATTTTTTTTTGATTGTCACCAATCTTGAGATCCATAGGCTGACTGTTGATGTCTGTGTGTGTTTAAGTTCTGCCATAGTTCAAAGCTTTTATTTGTGCATATTGTGCTTAGGAATGTTTCACAATGACGGCAGTAGTATCAGTGGTGCAATTCAAGAGTATTAGTTATGTGTTACACACTTAATAAGAGATTAAACATTAGGTGAGATCAATGAATCAGACTAGTTCATGATAATCTTGACATCTCAAACACCAGATCAGTTTTATCTGATCATAGAATCTTTTGGCTTTTCTTGCTATAAAAACTACATTAAATAAACACAGCTAATTTTACGCAACTAAAGAAAAACTAATCTTAAAGTGTCAAGGTTCAAGAGCCCAACTAAAACAAACACCGATCGCCATTATGGTAGCTTCAAATGAACATACAACACCTGAAATGTCAATAAGAGCTTTTGTACACATATGACAAAAATAAAGTCACACTGATTAATAATAAGAAGCTGGTGATGCTGTTTGTGGAACAGTTTAATCCTCCCAAACAAAAGTATTAATCAACATCAACAGTCAGCCTATGGATCTCAAGATTGGTGACAATCAAAAAAAAATGTAATGCTGCAATGCATGCTGGGAGTTTTGTACTGGCACCCAGCATGCATTGCGGCATGATATTTTTTTTTTATTAATAATAGTCACCATTGTTGAGATTCATGTGCAGATTCTTGATGTCTGTGTGTGTCTAAACAGTGCTGTAGTTCTTGTGTAGAGATGCACTGATACCACTTTTTGTTTGTTTATCAGCTTGCACACATCAGCTATATAGGCGTTAATACTGAATGTTCAACATTGCATACATATACTTCGTATACATCCTTAATCTCTAATAACTCTGTTCTGTTGTCAGTGTTTCTTTGTCTGAATATGGCACTTATCACATGCTGTGTGGTATTGGCGTTTGGTATCAGGGAATTTTAACAAGTACGAGTACAGAAGCTCAGTATTGGGCCCTATACCGATACCGGTATCGGTGCATCCCTAGTTTTGGGCATAAAATATTTTTAAGTTTCTTAATAGTTTGTCAACATATCTTGTAGAGTCATGTTAGTACCATAAACAAAAATAAATTAATTAACCCATATAATTAGACACTAACTGAGATCAGTGAATCAGATCAAGAGATGATGATTTCATCATCATTAATAGTTATCAAAACCACTTCAGTACAATTTTTCTCAGCTGTTCTTGTCACAACAAATGTGCTTTACATACACAGAACCAACAGCACAGAAAAACATTAAAGAGTCACGGGTCAAGAGCCCAACTAAAGCAACCACTGATCGCCAAAATGGTGAGGCCAAACAAAACATTTTCAATACAATATAAAACTCGGTTAATTCTCAAATAATTTTTGTAGATATATGACAGAAATAAAGTGAGTCTGGTTAGTAATGAGTGAAGCTGGTAATGCTGTTTGTGGAGTTGTGTAATCCTCCTCTGCTGTTTTATTTTGGTTAATTTCATCTAAGGCTGTGACTGGAAGTCAGTTGTAGTTTTGTTTCTTGTTCTTTCCTTCAGTGATTCTGCTTGTTAACAGCAGCTGTTCATCAGTGTCTGAATTCACTCATTTGTTTTCAATCACTTGGTCTAGTGGACTATATAATGAACTAATGTAGGGAATAGTGAATGAGGGTGCAGGGTGTGAATTCAGACACAGTCTATGAGTGTTGACTCTAAGGCTACTTTCTCGAAAACAAAGGTTAGATCTATTACAGTTATTAACCGTATATTGTAAGGAAACTTACTGTTAATCATTTAACTGGTTTTTACTGTGGCATTTCTAGTCTTTTACCGTTAAAATCACGATAATTTTTTACAGTGTACCTATGCAGTTGAGTTCCAATCAAGGTTATAGGACAAAATATGTCAAAATACTCTGCAAAACTCTTCTTCAGTGCTGAGAAAACAAAATGATAGTGATAACTCAGAAGGCTATGAAAATCATGTTCAATTTGATAAGTTAAATTCTTGGGAAAAATAAAACTTCTTCAATAACTATTCATAAATACACATTCAATATCAGTTGATAAAAACTACTTTATAGTCACAATATCTTGAGTTTGTAATGGCACTTGTATTAGGACAGAATTATTTTTAGTGTCTTCTGACATTAGGAGGAGAACAAAGATAACACTAAGCCCTGTGTAGTGCAGCAAAAACAAAAGCAATTAAACAAGATTTTTTCATAGTGTTTATTGTATCTTCACTCCTGTAAATCAACAATAAAAAGTGATTAATGACAGTTTTCATTTTTTCTCCGCAGCAAAACGGTGATACAGCTCCCCAACATCCTCCTGAGAGACTTTAATCCAGCCAGTCTCTTGCATGTGATACACTGTGAAAGAAAATGTTTTGTTATTTGGACTTGTAGAGGTATGATGGCAATCATTTCAAGATGCAGTTTTTCATTAAAAATGATTTTTAAAAATATATCAACACCCTAATCTTGTAACTTTCTTCATAAAAGTTAATTAAATGATAGCTTTTTTTTTGCACTTACTGTTCACTGTTCCTCCAGAGTAGGCATCTCTATGTGTGGCATGAAATATAGCTCGCTGGGCCAAATCATAGGCTTCTGGCACCGTCAGGTCGTAACGATAACCACTGTCCATCACGCCATAGGCGTAAGAGTTCCCAGACCCCGTGGAGAACATGTTCCCACTCAGTCGCAACCCGTTGTCATCAACATAGTATAACCCAGGACCCTGAAATGATCCGTTTTGACATAGCAGATACATTAATGTAATGCTCAAGTTGTGATAAAGAACACAGTTAAAAGAAAATAATGTGAACAGATTCAGAATGGCTCAAAGTAATTTTTATGTTAATGACACACTGAATTTGTTTATCATGGTAGAAAAACTTGTTTTATGTCATGCAGAATTAAGAACTTGCCTTCTTGTCCCATCCACAGATCATGGTACCCATAGAAAGACCCATGCCTCTATAATTTGCTACCATATTAGCCAGCAGCTTAGAGGCAGCAGATACAGAAATCCTTTCCTTGTTCCTCAGCTTGTAAATCCTGAAAGAAATTTTGGAATCAGTCATAAGTTCATTGAAGTTCAAAAGTTTAATTGTTAATCTATTTTCAAATTATTCTCATACTTTTCAGTGTGTTAAACATCTACAAGAAATAAAGAACGCTTATACCTCATTTGATATTATAAACAGAGGCTTCATGATTCTGAACTTTTTAAATATGACTGCATAATCTCTGTACTATTGCTGAATCGTGATCCTTCACTGAATTCAATTCAATGCCTAACAGTTTAAACAATACAGAATATTAAACACTAACACCTCTCCCCCATTAATCTTGTGCAAAAATGTGTAATATAATCAGTTATTGGGTTTACATAACTTTTTTTTCTGTTAAGTACAATGAACTTTCAGTTGTATTTGAGTAAAAGGAAATTGTTTAGTTTAGTAAATTTGACTGTTAGGTTTTACAGTGCATCAAGGGCGTTGAATTTAGTAGGGACATTTCCCTAACAATATTTAGTGACTACTAAATTGTCCTTAGCAATCATTTTGATCAAACAATTAAATATACTGTATGTATATGTGGTTGTCATTTTGGACACAACTGAAAGAGGTCATATCATTACATGAGTATTAAAGTAAATATGCTAGAAAACTGTGCGCTTTCTGTTGCGGTTATGTATGAATATCTATATCTGCTATAGATTTCAGCAGATGATTTTGCTAAGCTAACAAATTACAACAAGGCCAAACCATTAGCTAACACAACATAAAAAAGTTACTCTAATTTAAAAAAGCTGTAGTATTGAGTTCTTGTTGCTTAACCATTCCATGATCAATCCTGAGTTGGCGACGTCACTACATGCATTCTGCCGGCACGGTTTTTTACAGGCCAGGAACGGTTCCTAACCGTGCTGTGCCAAGCTGAGCTCAATTGGAAACTTGAACCATTCCTTATCGCTCTTAGAACCGTTTGGCCCGACAGTGGAAAAGTGGATCTAGACTCTGATGCTCACCTGCACTCTCTGGCCAGGACCCTCTCCCAGTACACACAGTCTGCTGCACTTCCAGACATGGTTCCCAGTAGGTAGGGATTGATCTCAATCACCTTCTTAAACATCTGAGTGCCTGAAAACGTCAAGACAAGCAGGCATGAATTCAATGCAAGCATAACATTCCACAGGCTATGCATGCATGATGTGTATGTTGGCTAAACTGGCACTTATCAATAGTGCTAGTATGGGATGTTTTAATTTTATTATCAAAATGGGTCAATTTGTTTTTCTTTGTTTGTCAGTATACTCTTAAAAATAAAGGTTCCTTATTGGCATTGATGGTTCCATGAAGAATCTTTAACATCCATGGAATCTTAAAAGGTTCTTCAGATTATTAAAATGTTAAGAGAAATGGTTATTTTAAGAACTGTTCGCTAAAAGGTTCTGGCTTTGCCACAAAACTAGCATGTTGGCATGCTGAAGACAATTACATTTAATACTATTAATTGTAACATCAGATCAGTGAGTAAAAAAGAGATTAGCCAGACTAGTTACAGACTGTAAATGCAATACTAATTCACTGCAGTCATGTAACCTCCCACATGCTAAGCCCAAGCTCCACTCTTCAGCACAAATAGTAGCCACAAAACTCAAAAACAGAAGTTCTTCTTAATCGCCATCATAACTGAACATTAAACACTAACAAGTCTTTCACTTTACTAAAAACATACAATTACACTTAATTTTAACATTTACTTAACCCATGAAAAGCATGCTGTGACCTACTGCTCAGTTCAACAAAAAAACTATGTGGGCTTTTACTGATTTAAGTGGATTGGATATAATGAAACTATATAAGTTGTGACAACATGTTTAAGAATTGAGATGCTTGAGCTCATTTTAATAAAGTAATTCAAGCATGCAGCAAAAATACTTGTGTATGTTGTGTATGTTGATGTCTTTGTGAGTGAAAGTTTTTTTTTGTTTTTGTTTGCAGTGCTCTTCACTTACTAACGTATGCCCCTGCAGAGGCTCTTGAGTCCACAGCTACCATCACCCCATGCTGAAATTTAAAGGCCAGAGTGGTGGTACCATGTTCCAGCTTAATGGTGACCCCCTCAACCCCATCCTCACAGTCCGTAAATGGTTTCAGAAACTCAGCTGGCTGGAAAAAAGACATAAAACAATAGAAATCTAGAACTCGTTGATATATAATATCTTCAGCAACCACAAAGAGTTCACAAATGAAGGCTGTAACAAGCATTATGCACTGATATCAGTTTTCCCAACGATCAGACGAAAAAACGAGTCACTGATACAAAAGTTTCAAGAAGCGCCTCGTGATACAGAGCGATAATGAAAGATGCCACTCACGTCAACTCCGATCGGGACCGCCAGCTCTGGCTCTCGTGCTGCGAAATTAAAGTGGTTAACTCGGTCAACCGAGGCTTTCTGTGCGCTGAACGTGTCTTCTTTCACCCAGTCTGATATTCCGCAAACGTCCAGAAGAGCCATTTTCAGTTAATGTAGACTACCTGCAACGGATATACTAGGTCTTCCTTGTTCCTTCGCCTTGAAATCGAAACTGAAATTATCATTGCCGTGCATTTCGCATCTGATGCTATTCTATTCTCAGGCACAGAATGGAAGTTTTTACATGTAATGTTTTAACACGTAAAAAATTGCTTTTTTGTGTTCAATCTATTTTTGCCTGCATGGGCCGACACATAAACTGATATTTTTTTTAATTAAGAGCCCATCCACTGTCTTTGCACGTATTCAGTGTGCCAGATGATACCTAGTTTTCCTCAAGTACTACCAAAGGGTGTGCAGTACAGTACTAGCTAC